TGCACCCGAATACGGGCTAACGACCAAATGTAATTAAACCATTAGATTGACTGAGAGGCAGCCCCCAAAAAAGTAAGGTTTTAAGACGGCCGTGGCAAATACTTTCAATTTCCATCATATTCAGCCAGTATAATTTTCTTTCATATTTATATTTATGAAATTGGAATGAAGGTCACAAGTAGAAAAATATTGCACACGCACTAACTGACTCTCCAAGTTATAATCATGAATCATGATTGCAATCCAATTCAAATATTTACACTTTATTTTTTCAAATTATATTCTTTGGGTATAGTGATGGATAGTTCGAGAATAATGTGACGTAAACGAGCTATATCTTAAACTTTATATTTTAATAAAAGTTGCGGATCAATCATTAAATTCAATCCTCTGTTATTACAGATACTTATTTTTTTTATTTCAATAAAAGTCTTCAATTTCTAACACTAAGGCTTCGAGTTTCAAAACAAAAATTAAGCGGTCTATAATAAACTACGGTACCATACGTTCTATTATAATTCTCAATAATATATCATAAATCAATCATTTTTATGCTTACAAGAAATTTCTAGGCATGTTTAGTTACAATTAACTTTACGAGTATAAAAAGATGGTTCAGTAATTTAAACGTAGAAATGGTTATTGTACATTTCATCAATATCATTTATGTATTACAAAAAACAATGCTTAACAATTCGCCTTCAAAAAAATTCTTGCGCTTATTCTAACGCTTACTTTATAATTACTCGACGAAATCTAATTACATTATAGAACTCGCTATTTACAAGTACTAGCCTCTCTTACGTATGTATGTGTTGAATTTGTATCGACAGACTGTCAAAATGATAACCCTCGCTTTCAATTCATCAAACAATTCACCTACACAGGTACAGTAGTGCTATTCTGTAAGAACAATCTTATTTTTCACTACGGAATCTGCCAGTGGTGTCGCTTTTGGCATGATTCTCTATACGTAAACTTAAATTTGACAACAGTGCATCCTTGGCATTTTCTATAGGGAATGAAAAGGAGAGACTGATATTAAATTTAGTTTTAAGTTTAGAGAATCATGCCAAATTGACACCAGTGTGATTTGAAATTCGTGTTCTAATTTTAAATGACACCCCGAATTCTGATGTGAAAAGTGAATAACTTTTTATAGAATAGCAATGCAGTACAGCACAGTAGGTACTTTGAGTCTTTTATAATAAAATTATAACGCGACAACTTTATTGATATCGTCAGCGATAAGCAATCATTATTTGTGCTCATTAACCGGGAGCTTTACGTTCATGAAATATCATCAATAATCATCCTCCAGGTTACCATTTTCAAGGTCTGTCCACTATTCCCGAAGTTGACTGGTCGTGAATAAGCTTTACTTATCGCACGGTCGAAATAATAAATATATAGTTACATGTGTGCGTTTACGTTATATAAACAAGTAAATACGAATTGGCAGTTACATTCGTAATTTAAAAATAACAACTCCATTATTAAGTATTAGCAATTACTACTCTAAATAAATAGTTTATTTTACAAAATCATGGCATCTTTGGTATGTATTTATAGATATATAAATATCAGTGAAATAATTGTGAGTATTTCGATTCGAAGGCAATTTGAGAATGCCTTTTTTATTTATTATGGCGTATAAAAATTATCTCTTGCCCACTGTCTGACTAATTTAATGATATTCCTTTCTTTTTTATTATGGATTTACATAATAGCAGATACCGTATTAAGTGTTAGATAGACCATAAATCCAAAAAACTATATAAGCAAGATGGCAATAGGTTTAAGAAACATCAATATCATTAACTGACTCAGACAGTAGCTATCTTTTCATATTTGTCGTCTACTGCAACTTCTACTCTAATGGCGTTCTAAGACCACGCTAACATCAGTCAAAAAGAAAAACCGAGTAATTGTAATGTACCAATTACAATCTTGTCATACACACTTAGGCACTAAGTCATTACAAATAGAATTGACATTTTCTTTACACACATTCAAATTGTCAACAATGAGCGAAGATGAGTTTGAACACTATATTCAATGTTTGGGGTACGAAATAAAAACTAGCTAGTTTACAAATGAAGTTGAAAGCTATTGTAGGAAACGTGTACTCGACATATTTTGTTATAACTACATAATAGCAACAGGAACGTTTCATAAAAATGATTTTCAACGTTTGGCCCACTCTTCTCGAAAATTTAGAAACGACAGTAGACAAAAGGAGTAACAAAATTTACGCGCGCTTTTACGCATGTTTCCACAAGCCTATCCTTTTCTCATTCACATAACTATCATTGTCATGAAATAAGAATGAGGGTTTTAGTATTTGTACTGAGTTAGAGAATTAGAGGACAGGACAAAGTTTCTGTGAATCGGAGCGGGATAGATTGACTTAAAAATGCCAAGAAACGCGTAGATGTGGCTACTCCCTAATGTGATGTTTTAAGTGTCAGAATGTATGTACACAATGATCACAGTTACACACCGTAACATTACAAATGGCGCACCAACAATCTAAATTGGCAATGTGGCATCACAGTGCCATCTTAAACTCTATTTCTATGTATACATATCGCTAAATCTATAACATTATCGTTAATTATCAAAACGATCCCCTAATAATCTAGATACACCCATAAGAAGCACTTTTTTTAATGAATGAATAAGTATCAGAACTTTACATATCATTTATACATGGTAAATATAATTTATATTATATTTTGTGTCTCATAATGTCATTGGTTTCAACTATAATGATTATAATAATCGTTTAATCTAACATAACACGACAATTATGTTTCAATGACACGCTGGCGTTTACATGTTTTGTAGTTGTAATATTAAATGTAGAAGCCAGCGTCGTCATTGGAATTGTCTAGTTATAATAACACTAGAACTTTAGAATAAGAGAATCCTCCCTATAATTAATGACGTAATGCTACAAATAGTAGGTATGTAAAAAAGCGAGCTGGGAACTCATTGCGGTTTTCATCAGTGAGTGTTTTACCAGAAATACAACGCTATATAAATGACATCTTTTATCAGGTGAATAACCGCAATGTTATTCACAATTTCTCATTAACTAGTCATCAACATGTTACCAACAAAAACTTATATTTTCACCTAAATTATTTTGTAAACTATGTATAGTCTAAACAATCTACAATTTGTTACATTATTCATCTTACATACATCAATCGATAATATTGTTCCGTCTTTTAAAAAAAATACAATATGATCTTTGTCACATCTCTTCCGGTGGTCTATTTTGTGGATAATCACCAGTACGTATATTATTATTAGGTATTTCTTGGAAGAAATTTTTTCTCATCACAAATCGTCATAGTGATAAGATAATAAATGCATAATCCACTCGTTATAATAATTTACAAAGAAGCGTAACAAGATTCAAAGACGCTCACTTTTTACAAAAATAAAAAACAACGTGCCTGCATGGTAATTACAAGGTCGTATCCACAAATTTGAACTACATGGTCACCGTAACGGAAACACGCGGCGACGAACAAACGAAGGTTCGAATCCGAATAGACGACGCGACACTTTGAATTTGGAATGTCTCTGTTTTACTTGACGGCGATTTCGCTTAAAGAGTTCGAGCGGAACCGTGGCCATTCTCCTTGGAACTTGGAGTGGTTTGAGGTGACGTACTCGTGGTTTCGAGTGTGCGCGGAGAGAGTCTCTGCGTGGGGCGGGGCGGCGCGCTAGTTGCGGTAGATGTATGCGCAGGGCTGGGGCGCGGGTGGCGGCGGCGTGGGCGGCCGCTCGCCCGACGGCGACGGGGAGGACGACGGCGGCGACGGCGACGACGACGAACCGTTGCCGCTCGCCGAGCCGGAGCCCGACCCGCTGCTGCGCTGCGACACTGCACAACGACGTAGTACATGCACGGTGTCATGTGAGTGACAGTTTAGGGCTCCACTCGTGCCGATTCTGGCATGATTCTCTAAACCTAAACTTAAATTTGACAACAGTGCTGTCGATTCTGGCATGATTCTCTAAACCTAAACTTAAATTTGACAGCAGTATATCCATGTCATTCTCTATACAGAATGAAAAGCAGAGACTGATGTTAAATTTAGTTTTAAGTTTAGAAAATCACGCCAGAATTGGCACCAGTGGTGTCGATTCTAGCATGATTCTCTAATCCTAAACTTAAATTTGACAGCAGTATATCCATGTCATTCTCTATACAGAATGAAAAGCAGAGACTGATGTTAAATTTAGTTTTAAGTTTAGAAAATCACGCCAGAATTGGCACCAGTGTATCCTTATCATGTTAAATTTAGTTTTGAGTTTAGAGAATCATGCCAGACTCGATACCATTGTCTAAGTAATGGACCGTAAATGACATACAAAATATTAGCTCAATTTTTCGCCACATTCATAAAGATCATTGTCTCATTATATGTATTATACGGAAGCAAATGTCTATAGGGTATTAGCACAAAGTAAATAACTAACCGAAACATATACAGCCGAGGCAAAAGGTTCTTTTGCTCTCACTTGAGGTACAGAACTTAAAATATATACCTAGAAAGAAATAATAGCACATGAAATCCCGAATTAGATCTTGGTTTTGTTGAGTTTTAGTAAGGCATCCGCCCCAACTAAGGTTTAGTCCACCTTGTATGGTTGATTTTTTGATAAAATGGTAAGCGTTATTTTCCATTATTTTACATTTAGTCTTAATAATAAAAAAATGAAATACCAGTTCCAAGACGAGTATAGAATTTGGAGTAGCAAATCCTATCTCATAAATTCCTTGATCTTACAGTTTTTCAAATCAAAAATAAAATTTAACAAAGAAGTTTGTCGAAGTTTGATAGTATAAATCAGTAAATTCAACGTTTGGTCGCTTTAATAGTGATAAAAGGGCATGTGAACTTACCCAACGTGTGATGGTGGTGCGAGTTATGCTTATGATGGTGCATTTGATCGCGCGAGTCCGCCCCGTTTGTTTCTCAGAGGTACACCTTCTTCACTGAGCGCGTGGTCGAGAAGCCGTTGTCGTTGCCGCGCCGGTAGCCATCGCCCTGCGGTCCGAATATTCCTGCGTTAACTGACATGCCGCGAACGCGTGAGTGAGTTATGAAGCTGATGAGAAGTTATTAACAGATTCAGATATTCGTGAGTTTTTTCCAAATTTCTTTGAGGAAGGCAAAATTTTTTGTTGATGATATTTTTTTTATATGGTTTTTGGATGTCCAAGTAGTTAAACGTATCTACTTTGCATCAGTAAAGAAAATTTTATGAAACGAAATTAAAGTAGTTTATTTAGATGATGTTATAGTGTTCGGCTATAAAACTCACGAACATAAAAATTTTAACAATCACGCATCATTAAGAGATATCAATAAAGTTTGACTTAAGTTGAGGTGACACTAATACATTGTGTTTACGATATAACTAAAACAGCTTGTCACTTTGAAAAATTTTATTGATATCTCTGAGTTCAGTCGTGAGATTGTTAATGTTTATGAATGTTTAAAGCCAGATGAGATGATAAGCAGATATTAAATGAGAAACACCGTAATGATAAAAATATCAATCATGTTTTATATATTCATGCAGTAAGAACATTAAAAATTAATAGCGAGTTTAAGAATAAGTAAGACACATTATGGAAGTTGTGGATTACAAAAAACCATGCAAGGAAATTGTGCTAAAAGACGATATGAAAATAATATTGTAGATAATGACGATAAATAGGAAAATCGGTCGGTACTTACAAAAATACATTATTTATGCATTTAGGTTCAATATATCTTTTTAAGTTTCAAACCCTCTTATTAGAACACAGTTTAGATAACAAAATTTTTGACTCAATGCTAAGCAGAACTTCTCTTTTGAAAATTCAGTCATAATTTAACTTCATATTACTATATCAGGGAGATGACGTTGCTTATAAACGTAGGATTCTCCATTTTTTCTTAGAAATACGCTATACATATCCCCTTGGATGGTGCTTAGCAATCAACAACGCCGAGCACAGCCAGCGGTCATTAACCTGCTATGGCTACCATGACCCGGGAGCACTAAATACGCTGTAATAGTGGCTTAGTCCGATTGGAAAAGGAATAACGTCTTTCTAGGAGGCATTGACTTTCGTTTATTGCTGATGTTGCCATTTTTTTTCTTGTCGATGTCACTGTCACCATGGCACTGGTCAAATTAGACCACACAAAAGAAGATATTGAAGCACAACTGACATGGATCGAGTGAAAGTATAATGTGCCGAACATCATTTACTGCAATAAATTTCCAAACCAATGGACGTAATTTTGCACGTTCACTTGTGCTTGTGAAAGTCTAAACTGAATAAAATGAATTTGAGTTTGTTGTTGTCGAGACGGTACGCATACGGCTGATCTAGAGCAGCGTCTTTCTAAATGCCAGGCATTGTCATTCGTTTTTTGTCGAGTAATTACCGGCACTGGACAAATGCAAACCATGCAAAGGAAGATAGTGAAGCAAAACTGACATTGACCTGGTGGGAGCGTAATGTGGCGAAGTTGTCGTGGCGGTATGCGTCCGGTGTAAACTGGAGTAGCGTCTTTCTAAATGCCAGGCATTGTCTTTCGTCTATTGTCGCGTTATTACCGGCACTGGACAAATGCAAACCATGCAAAGGAAAATGGTGGAGCACAACTGACATTGACCTGGTGGGAGCGTAAAGTGCCGAAGTTGTCATGGCGGTACGCGTACGGCGTGAATTGGAGTAGCGTCTTTCTAAATGCCAGGCTTTGCCATTCGTCTATTTTCGCGTTGTTACCGTTACTAGACAAATGTAAACCGTGCAAAAGAAGATAGTGGAGCACAACTGACATTGACCTTGTGGGAGCGTAATGTGTCGAATTTGTCGTGGCGCTACGCGTCCGGTGTGAACTGGAGTAGCGTCTCTCTAAATGCCAGGCATTGTCATTCATCTATTGTCGTGTTATAACCGGCACTGGAAAAATGCAAACCATGCAAAAGAAGATAGTGGAGCACAACTGACATTGACCTGGTGGGAGCGTAATGTGCCGAAGTTGTCGCGGCGGTACGCGTCCGGCTGGAACTGGAACAGCGTCTCGTGGTGGGGGTGGTAGGGGGGGTGCTTGCGGAGGGTGGCGCGCGGGGACGCAGGTTTTGGCTGAGGCGCTAGTACGGGCTCAGCGTATGTTACTTCTTCCACTTGTTGCAGAAGCTTGGGCTCTGCTTGGATCCTGTGAACGAAACACACAGTGTTTATAAAAAGGTTGATTTGCAATTGCTAATTTTGGTGTATTTCATATTTCCTTGGCAGAGCTATTTTCAGTTTTCTCTATTTTTAGCGTGGTTAAGCGCGTCAGTGGTGGTGATCCCACAATCTTGAGACTATTCCGACCAACATTTTGAATCTAGGAAGTAATACAAAATTCGAATGATTATTTTATTCTGATTATTAACATATTCTGATTATATATATTTTTATTATTACAGATGACTAATGATATGGCCGGTTTGTGTAGAAAATATAATAAGTTCATCAATGGCTTAACACGCCTACCAAACTACGGAGGAGATAGTAAATTATTGATTACTCTTTCTTGCTTAAATTCCACCATTGCAGACAAAATGTGTTAACCACTGCGCCATCGAGCTCCTGGTTGGAAGTAACTCCTGAATATGATCACCTGTTGTTGTTCTGCCTCTGCTCGACGTACTTGGTGTCCGGATAGAGCATGTTGTCGTCGTCGTCCTTCTTGCAGTGGCGTTCACAGATGTATCTGACCGCAGCACTCACCTGTTGATGTTCTGCCTCTTCTCGAAGTACTCGTACTCGGTGTCCGGGTAGAGCATGTTGTCGTCGTCATCCTTCTTGCAGTGGCGGTCGCAGATGTAGCTGACCGCAGTGCTCACCTGTTGATGTTCTGCCTCTGCTCGAAGTACTCGTACTCGGTGTCTGGGTAGGGCATATTGTCGTCTTCATCCTTCTTGCAGCGGCGGCCGCAGATGTATCCGGCCGCGAACCCAGCACCTAGTGCGGCCAATGCTCCCGCGGCTACTGCTAGTGCGAGAGTTTCCACTGAATACGCGGCGGGCGGAGGGTCTGCGGTCATCACTTCAGGACCTGGGAGAAGAAAACGATTCAGGACTTTCTATTATAATGGTAATAGTAATTTATTTATTAAAAGAAATAGGTGTAAAATAAAGAGTTTTAATTATTATTATTAAAAGAAATCAATATGGTTAATTCTCCTAATATCTTAAACCAGTACTTCCTAAGATTAGCGCACTCAACGAAACAAACAAACTCTTCAGCTTAATCGTATAAACTGATAAAATCAATACACTCATCAAATTTTAGTGTTTCACACAACGATCAAAAAACTTCGAAGACGATTCATCATCATCATTAGCCATATATGTCTCATTTAAACAACACATTTAATAAACATAACCAATGAATTTACCTTCATTGTTATTGTTGCTTCCTTTACCGTCCTTATCTTGAACTATGTTGATGACTTCTCCCTTAGTTTCCCCTCGGGCTTCATCGTATAGGCCAGAACTTAAACCTCCAACGGCTCCGGCATCTTTACCTGTGCAATTAATCAAGAAATTCCGCATGAATTTAGGAGACAGCTAAGCAATTTTTCAAATTGTTTCTCATCTAACAATTTAAAGCTTTATCAAACAAACCACAGATAGCGTAGATTTAAAACAATCGTGAAGGCTCACTTGTTTCACATTGTAAAATCTTATAAGTTAAAAAAGCTATACACAAAGAAAATGGACTGAGAGTTCACAATCCAAATTTAAAGTTAATAAACGTGGCTACCCCCGAGTGATTTCTTTTATTGCCTTTAAAGAAAAAAGGAGCGGATTGGCCACCTGAGTGGTCACCGTCGCCCATGGATATCAGCAATGCCAGTGAGTGACATAGCCATGCCGCTGCCTTTCTTGGAATACTATATTTAAGCCTCTCTTATCTTTTTCTCAATATCTTGGTTTTTATTAAAATAATTTTGTTCTTCAGAAACTCTTTTAATCGAACCACAAACATGATATAGGAGTACAAGACGCACGAGCAGCGTGGCTTCCAGTACTGAACGCTCTGGTATAAAAAGTGCTCGTGGAGCTAGCGACTGACGTCCACTTACTATGAAGGCTGGATGGCTGCGTGGCTACCGATACTGACGCTCTGGTAGAAGGCAATCTCGTAAAGCCAGCGATAGCGCGGCAACGACCCGTCTGTTTATCCCACGCACAGTAAGGGTCTTAACTGCTAAACATTCACTGTATAGCAATAGTAATTTGAGGTCCACTTACTATGTGGGCAGGCGGCGTGGCTTCCGGTACTGACGCTCTGGTAGAAGGAGTTCTCGTCGAGCCAGCGACTGACGCCATGCGAGTAGGCGCGGCAACGCCCCGCCTGTTTATCCCACGCACAATACGGGTCTTGGAGTGCTACACATTCACTGTAAGAAAAAAGGGATTGTAAATCCACTATATAGCAAAGGAACTATTATAATGTATCTAAAGTAAGGCTTTCACAAAAATGAGGATATTGGAAGGAATCACAGTAAAAAATTCAGTCTAATAACATGACTGCTGAGGTCGATATAGTGCGATTCAAACTTACGGCTGTGAAGTTAGCGCAAATTGCGACGCAGTAAATGAAATGTAGGGTGATGTTAGATGCACGCGGAATTCCACTGAACTGATACCTGCGCATAGTTGCGCTCGCTGCTAACTTCAAAACTACCATAAAACTTTAATCACACTATACAGCCTTGCCCGATGGATGAGATAGGGAGATTGGGCCATGACCCACCACCCGGACCCGATGCGGATTGGTGGGTGGTAACTACTGCAGTCTGCTACAGGCTTAACGTGCCTTCCGAAGCCACCAATCCTATGATTACGACCGGTTATTGTGAAAGTTGCCAACTTTAACGATAGCAAACTGTTGCTGTGACGCACCTCCTCCCATTTTTACCCGGCTGCGCAATGCAAGAGAACGAAGCGCGACGCGCAGACAGGGTATTGTGTTTAACAGTCTATATATGTATATATATTCCTTTTTTTATTTAAGTGTTAAATTGTATTGTATCATTAAAACTTATATTTAAGAATCGATACAATAAAAATGCTGTCTAATATTGTTCATCAACATTGCAATACTTACGAGCACGAGCTGATCTTATCACTGGAACACCTATGGAGTCTTAAACTCAGAACTTCTCTATCAGATACTGCTATAAGTCGAGCGGCGTCTCTTCCTGCTCTCGCCACCCTTAAAGCTCTAACTGGAGAGCCAGCAGCGAAAGCTTGGAGCTCTTCTATTACTACGGGCACAGCCCTTTTGTTCGAATCGTAAGATACAGCATTGATAGCTTTAATAATTTTGCCATTATCTGAAAGCATTTCATTTATAAATACACCAATTTATTGACTTATGTCAGTAAACGTAATTTCATTGGTAACGATGTATATAATTAGGTATATGTGGGGAGAAAGGAAATGTTACCTGTTCCAATAAATAGGACATCATAAGCTTTTCCACCGGGTGTCTTCACTTGTGGGTCCACGGCGATTTGCGTGAACCGATAGCTGTAAGTGAAGATGGAAAAATATTAGATATGTCCACTTTATGAGACTATAATGAGACTAATGGTACTGCTACAAAAAAGTTAACCAGGCGTTTAACGCGAGTTTAAGGAGAAAATGTGAATGAAAATTTGCCTTAACATGGTTTAAAACTGTGTTGTGTCACTATGTATTAGTTTATTGTTGTACGTTCGTATGTTTTTTAATATATGACATATACGGCTATATATTATATATGCGGCTGGAAAAGCAAAAGCATGCAAATACAGGGGTCTAGGCACCGAATATGATTTTGTCCCATTCAATGTCGAGTCCGTGGGGTCCCAGCGGTATAAGGTTTTTTATGGAAATATCAAAAAGGTTAGTCAACATCACTGGAGACCGAAGAGCTGGCAGCTATCTCTGACAAAGAATTAGTCTACCTATTCAAAGGGGGAACGCTGCCAGTATTTTCGGAACCTTGCCTAAAGGGACTCCTTTTAATAATATATTTTAGATATTATATTACATTTTAAAGGTTTTTAGTTTTAGATCTATTGTTCCTGTTTAAATTATTATTATAAATGTTAAATATATTAAGTAAATTGTTACATATATAATTGTACAAACTTGTTCTATTTATCTGTTTTATTGTGTGTGTACTAAATTAGTAAATAAATAAATAAATAAAATATACCTACTGTTTTAAATGTAATACTTACTGGAAACTAGTCCTTATAACTATCGGTTCCCCGAAGAATGCAGGCACTGATTCGTCCATCAGTGCATGCGTCTTTATAAAGTTGAGCGTCTGGTCTGGAAGCTGCCTTGAGTCGTTGTGGCACGTTCCTGGCCGGGGTTCTGGCACCTACGAGAATTGAATCAAACCATTAGAAATACAATTATTAAGCGTGTTTCATCATAAATTACCTATCAAGTTTTGAATAATGCGTATTATTTATATCGGATAAAGAATTATGCGGTTCAGTCGAGTAAGAGTCCGTTTTTATCAGAATTAGTTAAGTTTATCCTTATTTCTTTAATGATCATGTTTCAAATTGGATACACTAACAAACAGCTTTGTTATCAAATGGTCTATGTTTTCTTAGAGTATTATCAAATTACCTTTGCACTGTTGACAGGTAACCAATTAGAGTTGATGGCACTCTGTTCTTTGAATGTGCCTTCGAATGTGTCAGCGATGTCTTGCATGCTGAACGCGCAGACAGCACTTCCAGATATACTGTTAGGTGGTGTAGTAAAGGTGCCATATATCAATTGTGCACTGAGACCACCGTAAACACCCTCTATGAGTTCCGTTGTTGATTCTGGAAATAGAGGATTGTTTTAGTTAACTTAGCTTAGAAAAACAAATCAGGAGAACAGGTTATTTTGTTTCTAGAACTCTTTGAAAGGCCATAATTGCTTGCGTTCGATCAAGATTGTATAACAACCTTAAAGGTTGAATCGCAAGATTCATGCAAGCGATTAAAGCCTTAAAGTGCTGTTTAAAGCATGTAATCTCAAAGTTGACTTTCGACATATTGTGATTGACATCGTCGTTCATTCTTCTACATACAGAGTGGGATAATACAGGATGAAGTTCACCTTACATCTTTTATCAATTTCAGAATATAAGCTCCTGATAGAAAGAAACTTATGTATAAGATTATTCTTATAATAAAATTTTGAAGAAGCATGACTTTGTAATATTTCATCATCATCAGCCTATTCAGTCCTCACTGCAGAGGCACAGGCCTTCCCTAGGGAAGGAATAGGGAGACAGGGCCGTGACCACGCCGGCCAAGTGCGTATTGGTGAGTGCTAAGGACTGCAAATGCAGCAAGGACCAACGGCTCAACGTTCCTCCCGGAGCACGGAGGAGCTCAAGATAATAAGCTTATTATGGCCACCCATCCAATGACCGACCATTGTGAGAGTTGCTTAACTTTCACAATCGCAGGCAAGCACAGGAATGCACTAACCACCGGCATCGAGCTCCTCGAGATTTAGCTTACGTATTTGGAATATTTAGCTCACGTATTTCATTGAAGTAGAATGGGAAGTCTCCAGCGACGGAGCAGTTGAGCCGTGACTTCAGGAAGGAGGTCCACCGCTGCTTGAAACGATGCGGCCCTCCGCGGTCGTCACGACATACTCGCGCCACCCGTGAGAACACCGACTGAAAAATAATGTTTTCGTAGTGATCTAATATGCCGGTCCCTTGCCACCGTCAACGTGCCAAGTCTACTTGAGCCGACTGGTATTGCAAGAGACGATGGCAAGAGATCGGACGGTATGAGTTTGATTCCATGGAAGATGGGGCGGGTGCTAGTATGGGATGCAACCTGTTCAGACAAGCTGGCCCCTTCCCATCTATATGGAACCAACAACAGAGCTAGTGCGGCTTGCGAAGCGGCTGAAAAAGCTAAGGCATGCAAATACAGGGGTTAGGCTCCGAATATGATTTTGTCCCATTCGGTGTCGAGACACTTGATCCGTGGGGTCCTAGTGCTGTAAGGCTTTTTAAGGAAATAGCAAAAGGTTGGTCGACATCCCTGGAGACCGAAGAGCTGGCAGCTACCTCGAACAAAGAATTAGTCTAGCTATTCAAAGGGGGAACGCTGCCAGTATCTTTGGAACCTTGTTTAAAGGGACCCCTTTTAATAATGTGTTTTAGATATTATCTGTTTTAAGGTTTTTAGTTATAAATATCTTACTATTTGTTCTTTAGTTATTATGAAATGAAATGATGCTTTATCCAAATTGACTTAATGAAAGCTCTTTAGAAGCGTCTATTTTTTTTCCAACTACCCATTCAGGACATCGTTTAGCTAATGAGAAGAATGGGCGCTAGATATTCATCGGCATTTAACAGAAGTAGCAACATTTACTTAAGAAAGAAGAAAGAAAATCATTTATTGGCCTTAAAACACAAGTATGTAACAATAAGAAATTATATACCGATAAAAATAAAAACAAACAAACAACAACAATATGCAGAAAGAAGAAAGGCCAGTTAGGACCCTGCCTCAGCTTAATGCTGTTACAATGGGACGGGAATATTCCCATCATAACTGCGCTGGTATTCTGGCAGGGCTCTGACTTAAAATCATGTCGCTACTAATACAACGTCCACTCGTATTTTAATTGTTGTGTCATACAGTATATATTTATTATTGTAATTGCTGTTGCAAACGATGCAGTCGCATTAGTTGGTGAATATTTAGCTTACCTTGCCGCAGTTGATATATTCTACAGCCGTTTCTCTGAAGAAGAAATAGACGAAATTGCCGTGCACCAGCGAATTGACGAAGTCGGGAGCTGAAAAGAAATCGATATCGTTACTCAAACTATTACTACTGGGTTACAGGCCTTTTCATAGCCTTTCTTATAGTTTGACAAACAAGGGAGAACAACCGAGCGGGCCCTGTGTGAATTATTAGGTGCTAATAACGTACGTAAGTACTTATACAGAAGCAGTATCATAATTACTCATAGATGCCTTGCTTTTAAAATGAATTACTACCTATTGATCTTTTCATTTATGAGATATGTATTTAGTCTAGTGAGTGAAATACAGGCATTGCCTAGTTCAGCAGCAGAGACTAATAAATTGTACTTTCTGTTTAACTAGTGCTAAGTTTGTTACGTAATCCTACTGTACTGATTTTTTTGGTCAATGAATATTATTATTATTAATTTGACGATGATTATTCAAAATCCAAACTGTAGTAAGTTTGATGTTTGCAATGTCATACTTTACAGTAGATTAGATAACGTGCCCTCGTTATAGTAACTCAATTACTGTATCACCGTAATCACGTATCAGTTATGCCGCACCAGACTGTAATATGTCCGTTGTTTATTATTAGCACTTCATTATGCATAGAAACGCCGCTAGGGCTGTCAAAACATCGCATTCATGTTACGAACAAATCTAAAGGGATTACGCTTTAGATTTGTTTGCCGTTTGAATTTGTAGCACGCTCTTCCTTGTTAAATTCCTTAGCATTAACTGAGAAGATTATTCAAGCAAAAGATTAAGTGTCATTGTGTGGGACAGTCAGGTCTCCTATTTAATGAGGTACTCGGATACTTGATAAGACGTTTAATTACGTATAAATTACAATAATTGAATAAGATATAAAATATGAATGCATATTGTTCGTCGTGGTAAATTCGAATGCGCGGGTCTTCCTCGCGGCTTCTTTCACCGGCTTCTTTCACCCGTTACGTTTCGTTTTCGTCGTTTTCCTTCTTGTGCAATAGATGGAGACACAAGCGTCGACAGTCGATATAAAACGATAAAAATATTGATGCAAATTCAAATAAATATCTATGCATGTTCCTAAATTAATTAATGAAAAATCAAGTGTTTTTACTGATATTCTTCTTTGATATACATTATTTTATCAGCATATTAAATTAATGATTGAATAAATATATAACCAGCTAAGTGCTTTCTGAGAAATAAATAAATTAACTGTATAGTTTATTTCGGCCATCACACTGACCTGTGCTGTACCGCAGAACGGAAGTTTGCTATTGCAACATTAATATGAGTTTAATGTCTAGAACCCCAAAGTTCAAAATTACACTCGTAAATGATCATGATTTCTTATTTGCACTTGCATTTGTCTCTTTTATCTAAAAGATTTGTCTAAATTGTCTAACACGGCGTCACCCTATCGTTCCTATGTCTATAATTCTAATACAATCCTAATCCGATTTACCGATTGTTGACGCGTCAAATGTCACTGGTGACAGCGAATTCCCGCCAAACCAGTTCCAAATTCAATTAATTTGACGGATGTATGTTTGACAGTATTGGGGAGCAATCGACTGTGACGGACATGTAAACAGCGAGATAGTTGGTCGGAACCGAACTAAGGTCGTTTGCTATTCTGAATTTCATGGGAATCATGAATAATAATCAGGCTGGTTTCCAATACAAAGATTAATAACGCGGTTATCATTTTAAGAGAGCATTGCGTATGTGTATTATGAGAGCATCATTGTTTAAAGTAAATAAAATATTGAATAAGTGAATAATTTTGAACACAAAGAACACGTATTTTTTTAAAGAAAATTTTCTTTACATTTAATCATCTAGCAATTAAATGCTTAAAAAAAAAAATTCTTTACAAAAAATCTGAATTTGATAACCCTAAAAAGATGCAAATAAATAGAATAACGTTTTATCAAATAATAAAAATCAAATATAGAATGATAGAATCCAATCGAGCATATTTTAGATTAACACAATTATGTAAAATTTCTCTTTTAAATAAATATATCTATGTCAGTGTTAGTACGTGATATTAATTATAAAACAATTTCCCACGGTAATGCCACGTAATTCAACATGATAAATCAAAATTACATCTTTACAATTTTATCAGAATCAGCATCATTTATTTGTGAGTTCAATAGCAGAACACTAAAAAAGTTCAATTAAAATATTATCGTCACTAAAGATATTATAAGTAATAAATATTTACAGCTTATGTTTGGCAGTTAAATTATGAAAGTTTAAAAATTATTTACCATTTAGCGTCATCGAGTCATAAGGTTCCGTTTGTAGAGGTTCTCTATAGATGATAGGCTCCATCCCACTGAAGTCTGCTACGGTCCCTGAATATAACTCTCCATCTGAAAAAACATAATTGAATCAATGAAACTCTAAATTTTTAAAAGGTATTGTTTCCGCCTGTGTCAACCTACTGATGGGTATTAGGATTTTCTTAATGAACAAAAAAAATATATATGAAAAGTTACATTTCGTTGACGAAGTTCTAATTCCTTCTTAATTACACGGATAACATTTTACACAAGCAGGAAAAAACGGTTACGTCGCAATCTTTTTGGTAGTTTTTTTTATATTTTACTAAGAGCGGGGGTTGCACGCAGATAGGACAAGTTGCCATGCATATATCCAGTTAGAAGTTATTTCTACAGTACTTTTTAAACATCCACTGTTAAAATTCAAATGAGTAATTTCATCAAAACAAGCAAAATAGACTTAATATTATAAGATATAAAAAAGTCAATTTAAAAAAATAAATAAAAGAGAAGGTATGGTACATAGCCGTCGATTTAATATTGATAGGTCGGTAATGAACTTGTTGCCAGTCAACATTTCAAAGTGTTTTGTTTTTATTACAACCAATAATATTACCTATTCTATGGTAAACAAAAAAAAAACGACTGTTAAGGTTTGAATAATAAAAGAAAGTATAAAGAGTAAACAAATTAAAGGATTCCTTTGTTTGTTAGTTTGCGATCGTTAATCGCATTATGTACTTAGCCATCGCCCTTCCTCGTTTGAGGGCCGATAACTCAATAGGCACGATCGCTAACGCACTGCGTAACATGCCATGGGTGTACGTGACTCGAATGTAGCTGATATTGGACTGAATTAATTAATAGCTGTACATAGCTGCTACAGTATGCTAATGCAAGACAATGACGATGTTCAGACTGCCAGTTTGGGATAGCCGCGATGCCGGCGACACTATGTTAAATTCGTTATAAGTTCGTTCGTTTCGTCTAAATTGTCAAGACACGATAAATTTGAGAAATAATAATTATACATATAATATAAGAGGTAACTTTATCATTTTTATAATAAAGAAAACGCATCATAATACAATAACATTATAGGAAGCAACAACTACGTTTTGGCTTAAGGGACTTGTATATTGCAATGCAATGAGAAAAAATTAAAACAGCAAATTCTCTTTTTTGCTAATTTGTGTTTACGTAAGTGTTCTTCTTAATATAATAATACTTAAAGAAATGCGATATTCCACTTGGTTCTTTTTCTTTTGTCTTTGAATTTAGAAATGAATTGATTCAAAATAGTAATTAAGTAGTTTCCAACGTTCCCGAAAATATTCAAATTTTGAAATTAAACTCTAAGGACTACGGAAACAGACTATGGAAAGCATATAGTGCTACCAATTTATAATTGCAGACGATGAGACATGGCTAAAATAATTACACACTTTAATAGTGTCTAATTTAACGTTCAGAAACAAAGTGACAGGTTGACAGTACATCGCCTGCAATAGTGCAGGGAAAGTTAGCAGCTGACGCCTTTCATGTTTCCTTATGACTGCCAGTCCAACGTATCGTTAAAATATGAGGGGGTACATTGCATCCTTGTTGTTCGCAGGGGCGCCGCTCGGTTAATTGGACAGACCTTAGGAGATAACTAACTTTGTCGGACTGGACATGGGCTCAGTGTTGCCAGGTACGATTTTTAAAAATCGGGAGGTGTTATAGAAAAAATCAGTAGATGTATGGAAAGAGCTACAAGAAAAAACAGTAGATGCAGAGGCGTACTTTTCCCAATTTTCGACCCCCTCCCCCCTAGTACCCAGTAACGAATGTGTTTCTGTGGCTTCTGCCGCCCCTCAAAGCTTGTTTTTTTTAGACAATAACATTTATTTTATAATTATTAAGGTTACCTATATTATATTTATATTGGCGGAAAATGCAACTCAACATGCAATTTAAAAAAGAAAAAGGTATTCTAAGAAAAACAGTACAACAGGAGAAATTTCAAAAAAACAGGAGATCTCCTGTAAAATTGGGAGACCTGGCAACACTGCATGGACTAACCGACGCCTCATGTGTCTCTAAACACTTTGTCTTTCTGTATGTGTTCATAAAACCACCAAAAAATGTATAAAAAAAAATAAGTTTTCTTCATGGGATTAATATAAAGGCAAATTGAAGAAGTAAACAGATTTTAAGAATTTGTTGAGGACTACAGATTTAAATTGAAGACACTTCGCTATGGTTGTAGCAAAAGGGATTTTTCAAAGTGAAGTTTTACAACCTACGTTTGTAAGTGATCAATAAATCTCATTATTTTGTATCACTTTAGATTTAAAGATTTTTTGATAATCCTTTGATATTTCTAATGTGTTATCTTTGGATTGGTAGTTTTTTTTTTCTTCTGATAGCTACGCGTGTGTGATTTGATCGAACTTTTTCGATATTAGTATCGATCATCTGTCCTGAACTGCAAACACGAAAAAAACTCAGTAAATGCCAGCCGCACCGTTAGTTTCTATGCTTTTTTGGTTCAGGGATTTGTACCCCTCATGGTGTTATAATGTTTTAAGCTTTCATGTCACTAATGTTAGAGTAATTTACGCAATTATCGGGATTGGTACCATGAACCTTGTTAAATCAGCAGTTTTGCAAGTGCCATCACAAAGAAACTCGCAAAAAAAAAGTTAAGTACATGGTAGCTGTCCCGCTTATTATGCTATTCTGAATTATGAAGGTCCAGTGGGTACCATGTTCTTGACAGGAGATCGAAAAGGTCTTATTGTGTTACCTACATGATTATGAAAGTCCAGGGGTACAAGTTCATCGCAAAATTTGTGTCCATTTAAACAATCAGTTAATACACATATGTACGTTGTTAAAGGAGACTAGTTAAATTAGGGAGACGAATATTAACAAAATTGGCGTAGGTATTACAGCTGAAGCTGCAATGCACTACCTCCCATGGGAGCCGTTGCTCTTAATTCAACAGATCAATAGGATATAACTAACCGTGACTGGCCGTAATGGCACAACTCCGGGAGAGTGCCCACTTTATTAGGAATGGAGCACACTATTTAACAAAGCCCTATATTCAGATAGAAGAAAATAAAATAAAAGAAGTTGTCAACAAGCATGGAACACACGACTATTTAGATTATGACAGAGTTTGATGCACGAAAAACGTAGGAACAGGAAAAGTGAATACTTAGCGGGTACCTATTCCCAGCATAATGATAGTTTTTATACATATACAGGTATAATTATAGCAGTTAAAGTGCTCAAATATTTTTTTTGTTTTAAACTTTCATGGTCACTATCATTATAGTAATATAAGATAATATTTTTTTTATTCCAAAGATTTTTTCCTTTTAATATATATACCTACATAGTCAGTGTTCCAGAAAAAATTAAAAAACTACACGACTTTTAGTACGAACGATCTTTTTGAAAATATAATAAAAATTACTTTTATATTAAAAGTTTACCATAACTTATCCTAATTATATTTTCAAGAGGTGGTTTTAATTTATGAATAATAAATGGTATGAGTAGTCAAACATATATGATTTTTCTACCACCCCTTTAAAAGTGAGAATGATATGTTTTAATATGAAATAAAGTAAATTTACTTTATTTTATAGTTTAGTTCTAATTTAATAATTCCTAATTCTAATTTAATAGTGTCTATGATGCTAAGCTAAACCAGCCAAAACTATCCTAAGGCACTATTTATAATGAGCTCTAACAGATGACAGCCTTGGGTTTGACGTTTAAGGGCCTGGTCTTTGTTGGTCTTTTCCCAGTTATGACTTCTTCTGGATTCGACCAATCCGCCTTTTACATAAAAAACTCGTGTGGTGTGGAGGTGTGTGATCACAAAAGAATATCTAAGTAACCGGAAACATTGTCAGTGCGTGTGATAAATGGGCATACACCGGGGTCTGTCTGCCGTTGCGTTAATCTAAAGAAAATTGCACAAAGGCCCACCGTGACGGTAATTGATGTAACTGCGGTGCATACCGGAGAGTTGGGGGAGATGACGTCACGTCCCTTCTCTTCCTTTGACGTGCGATTTCGACGCAATTTGTTTCCTGTTAGTGTATTCACTTAGTGCCGATTTATATTCATTAACTGCTTTCTTGAACACTTAAAAATGTGTTTTATCTTAACGTATTAATGTTATGATGGATGATGGATCTTTTTACTATGGGAGAGCGCTTGAAATCGTTAAAAAATGTATCATTTGATGAATCAGTAATTTTTTACCCCAATATTCCCCCATCAGTCACTCAGTAACAACGAACAACGGATGTTTAAATTTTGGGAAGTGTGAAAGGTCAGTTGATATATATTAAAAGTCTTGGTTGCTATATCATATACTTAACATGTATTTATTTAATAGTCAAAAATGTGCTAATTAAGTAGTTTCTCGATGAAAGCATACTAAGTGATTGATAAGTAGTTACACTTAATTAAAAAAATATTAAGGTATTCTTGGATAAATTACAATAGAACGCTAGTCTCATATTATTACAACATTATTGTAAGAAAACTACTGAGAACGTTAGAAAGTTAATTAAGTATTGGAAAAACGAACCTTAGTCTGTGCGCAAGTATAAAATAAAATCCAATTTGTATATTCTGGACAGCACTCGTTCACTACAGAACCGTAACGGGACAGTCGAGGGCTTGTGGGTGGATTGAACATAGCGGGTACTTCTTATTACATAGCATAAAGGGTGGTATCCGCAGTGAATATGTATTCACCGTGATGGCTTTAATTGTACGGTGAAGTAATACGGTGCGCAGAATCCTCCGCTGACCTGAAAAATGTTGCCACTCTGTAACTAGATATTATGCTGTGTTTGCAAATGCTATTTTCGTGAAATGTGAAATCCATATTTCTTTTTACTTACTTACGTGGTATATGAGAGACTTTTTATGTCGATAGTTATACACGAATGGATTGTCACGGCTCAAGGATAAAGTATTAGATTGTCGGTGGACCGATGGCGAGAGAATTTTTAGGCATAATGATGAGCCTTAATTGAACTATAGTAACCAATCACCTTAGTCAAAATTGGTTGATCACCTTAATTTATGTACAAGAAATATTGTAAAACAGAAAAGTTATGAACAATGGATTATTTAAAGAAAATATAACTAGAAAAAGTCCACGCGGACCAGGCAGCAGACGGGACTCGAACCTTCGCAATCCGGGCGAATGCACTGACCAATTATGCTACCGCGGCCCTGACAGCCGCCTCGAAATTCCTCTAGACATTCTTAAGCTGCAAGGCAGCGTCATTTCTTCGCATTGTAGTTAACCCACAATGTCAAATGAATACTTTTACAAGTATTAAACATTTGAAAGAAGAAATAGCAGTTAAATGCTTAAATAATAAAAATTATAATTATTTTTTCACTTAGAATGCCGCGAAATGGCCGAGCCACCAATTTTGTCTAGGTTGTGAAGTTAGGCCTTGTAGAGTTAGGGCGTGTAGAGTCAAAAGCTAGGCTCCACATGAGATATGATAACTTTTTGACAGTGCGAGTCGTAAGGTCTCGTCTTGACAACATTTTACATGAAAACTGTTTTTGGTGGGATTGACTTATTTATTTATTAATTGATCTTATGCTGTAGTTGCAGCACCGGTAATTCTTACTTTGTATTTTTTTTCACACAAAAGGTTTTTGTTTGGATAAACCTAAGGTTAACTTAATGCAAGTATGAGAAAGTCTCATACTTTATAACATTTAATAATGCAATATTTTCAGGTCTCGATAAATAGGAAGTGACCCACTTTCCTTCATACAGACATTACGGTATGTGTAATGGACCTCACAAAACACTATACAGAACTCTTTCCGAGCGACAATGAATGTCCATTGTGTGTCGCTAGACTGTGAAAGTGGGCCTAATCGATATCTCAAAAAGATTCCCTTTTTTTCCAAATTTCTTGACAATGGGTTAGAACCTTCCAGAGGCGGGAACATATATGTAGAATGTAGATACGCTGAAAAAGGGTTCTGTTGTAAAGCATGTTTAGGTACCACGAGTAGATAAGTACATCTCGCCCCTCTCTATTCGTCAAAAAAAACTATTAAGTGTATGAACTAATTTTGCATGGAAGGAATTGATTTTTTATTATATGTAGGTATACTTATAGGCAATCGGGGATAAAAAATCTCATGGTACCAGCTTCATAGTAAGTGGCAATCTTCGATCAAAAAATCCTTATCGAAGGTGGCAATGTAATCCTAGTCAAGACTAGGGATGCCAACTCTCATTCACAGATAGTCGGAACAAACTGCCTACAAATGTGCAGAAACGAGAAAAATACGAAATACAAATGAAGTAATTTTTATTTAAAATTAGATTAAAGTAGTACCTACTTAGTTTGATATTTACAGTATTCGAAATTTGATTTCAATAAAAAAAATGTCTAACCGATTACTGGTAAAGCCAGGCCTTACCATAAATCGGGACAATTAGTGTCCTGCACACATGAGTCGTAGGCTAAGAGCATCGTAGGATACATTATTTGAGCCGTGAAAGCCAAACTGGAAACGGGACGTGGCGCCTAACGCGGGACGGTTGACAACAGCTCTAGTAAAGGCGCTTGTGATGCATATCACTCGAGCGTAGCCTACCCTCGTTAACCAAAACGCCCTGATGTACAATCATAGACTTGGTTATATGAATAAATTAAATAGTCGGATGATTGAAATATTAAATTTGGTTTAACTCTTGTAATCTCTATGACACAAACACATTAAATTTTATTTGTGTTAGCAAAAATTTACAAAAAATAACGCAACCTTTACATGTACGGAGGTGATCATACCAGATAAAGAAAGCATAATAAATAACTTTCTTTATCCAATTAAGAAGGAAGAAAAGAAGAGGAGGGAGAGCGAAACATTTGCCAACTTGGCAATATAAAAAAAAACGTTTACTGAAAATAGTAATAGTATTATTATAATATCAGTTAGTTATTTTGTGTCTTTTGAAAGATTCGCCAGCTTACCCCCCCAAGTCAAGCGTGCGTAAAGAAGTTTCACTTAAAAATATTTTTCAATATTTTATTCTCACTTTGTCGTCGTGATTACAGTTCTCTGGCACCAATAGCCTTCAAGCTAAATTTCAGACGGACAGACAGACGGACATTACGAAACTATAAGGGTTTCTTGTCAGGATTACGGAACCCTAAAAAGGTGTAAGTGCTAACCAGCATAAATTGCTGTGGAGTTATGCTTCGGGTCGTAAGGACAGACGGCTTGTCCGGACTTCTCGCGCTCCATGTGGTAGTAGATGCTGGTACATTCATATTTCACGTAGGTACTATCCATAAAAAAGGTAACATAAAAGACCAAATGGGTACATACCAGCATAAACTGCCGTGGAGTTATGTTCCGGGTCGTAAGGACAGACGGCTTGTCCGGACTTCTCGCGCTCCATGTGGTAGGAGTCGCGCTGCACACCGTACTCCCGGCAGAAGGGCTTGAAGCTGTTGGTGCCGCAGACCAGCAGCCTGCCAGGGCCCAGCGACACCAGCACGCGGATGTAGTTCTGACAGCTTTCCTATAATCAGTAACGGGGGTCGAAGATATAGTGCCTTGGCAATTTATTCTAAAGAATTTAAGGATTATGGAAAAACATGTGATTTAGTAATCAATAAAGGTTAAATGTTACACAGGTTCTTTTCACGAAGGTACCTTGTTACGTTAAGCATAGCTTTAAACTATCTATGAGACTAATATATATCATCCAATAATAATCACCAAAGACGCTGCCTTGGATATTTGGTTTGGCTTAAGATGTTTTTAAGAATCAATAGTGACAAATTATAAACTACGACTGACTATTAGACTAGACTATTCTTTAATAGTTTTCGAAAGTGCTCTGTCTATTGAAACCATAGCTTTTACCATTTTTTATACATCTTAGATAGTATGACTAGAGCCATGGACTAGAGGCATAACAGATAAATAATAGGCCATATATCCAATATGCCAGACGGCCCACGATAACGGAGCTCTAATCTAACATCTGCCTTCAAATATAATTATATATTCAATATTTTAAAGATAAATTATAGACTAAAAGAATATAATATTGTCGTGGAGGTGGCAAATTAAAAATGACGTCAGCTCGCCATCATTTCGTTTATTTTCAGCTTGTGCGTTGACCGCTTAATTGGATAATGTGTGGAGCTAAATTAGAACAGTCTTCTTTTATACCTAGATAGTCCATTTACGCGAACACTTTAATTCATACCATTAAATGCATCTACTGAAAAATTACGACTTACGTCGCTGTTACTATGTTGGATAAATTTAGCTTTGGTATCTATCATCTTCTTTTATTATTATTTATCGATAATACGTTGATAATATTTTGTTATTATTTGTCGATATCATTTAATCACCTTAGTCCAAGAGGACCACCGCGGCTCCACCAGACGAAGAAATTGGTGGGACCACGGACCCATTGTGTAAAAATAACAGCTAAATTCATAATTTAATGAATTAAAATGTTTGCAACATTATTAATAATACCTATATTTTTTATATATATTAAATACTTTCAGGCTCATCTATCAGCCCACCTAGCATTTTACATTCGTCTACTCGTTTGTAATAACCAACTTACCGCACTTGTATCATAAATAACTAATACCATAGTCACGAGTTTGTAAATACCAATCCGAATAGAACATTTTCCACCAATCCCCTATTATCACCCATAAATCCCCGCTATCACCTACCAATCCCTTATCACCCTCGAATCCCTTTCACCCTCCAATCCCCCTTTTCATCCTCGAATCTCCTTTTCACCCTCGATCCCTTTTTACCCTCGAATCACCTTCACACCCTCCAATCCCCTTTTCATCTACCAATCTCCCATGCTCATTTAGTTTACAACTTTCTCATGTAGATACTCCTCCTTTCTCACTCTAATCCGCAGTGCCGCTTGGATTAGTCAGATTCGATCGAAGTAAAAAAAAAACACCGTAAGGAATACGCAAGGTGCCATGTATGGAAGCGTGCGGTAAAATGTTGTACTGCACTCTTTAGGATGGCTCGTAATTTTTTTTGAACTTTCAAACAATGTATACAATCACCGTAAATGCATTTTTTGAGGAAATGTGTTAAAAAGTTTTATATTTTGTACATAGCAGAAATTGGTTTGAAAACGACGATATAACAGTTCTCTAATTTGTATGCGTTGTCAACTCATGTGTCGTGTTCGGTTTAATTGCACATTGGACAGGAACAAGGATCAAAAGATTGCATTAGCATTTCAGGGAATCTGTGTGTCCAATCGTAATCCCGCTCCAGTTGATGGAACATAATGTGGCTCAAGCGACGGACGATGGTGCTAAAAGCATTCACTTGTTAGACTTCTCTATGTTAGACTAAGGTTTGAGGACGAGCAGATCAAACTCTATTCGAAAGACGTATGCGGATTTTATTTGAAATTATTTGCATGTTTTATGATATGAACATTGCCAAGCTCATATGATAGTTGGATCATCATCCTCACTGCTGGAGTACAGGTATTCTCTAAAAAAATTTAATGAATAGATTTATAAGATCGGCTGGCATTAACAAATATTTAAGATAAATAATAAATCACTAGTAATAGTTCGAAAATTAAAAGTGTGAAGGTATTTATAATCATAAGAAGTAATGTAGATATTTTGTCAATTCCACAATTCCTCATAAGTAATATATTGATTGAAATGGTGAATATAAGAATTAAATAACATTTTATTAAATCCGAAAACTTTGTTCAAATACTTGAACACAAAGAAGTTAATGAAGCGGAGGATTTGTAATTAAAGTCAATTTCTTAAAAGTAAGCCCCTCAGATTAAATCTCCGCTCGAATAAGTCGTAGGAAATCGCTTCCGAGCAATATATCACAAAGTTTTCGGCTCCTTTAATATCTTTGATAGCAAGTCCATCAACTCTGGCACCTTAGATTCTGTATCAGCTAACAATAGAGCTATCCACATTTATATATTAAATTGGGATAATAGAGATTATGACGGTTAGCAGGGCAACGTCAAGATGTGTTCGGAACAATGGCCATTCTGTTAGCTTAGTCTAGCTTAAGAAGTTATTGGCTTGTAACTAAGTAATTTACGATACGTCACGGCTGGATAATGGGTGTCAAGTTAATTTGGGTTAATTTTCCAAGTTGTCCATAAAGATCAATAGTTTTGGTAAAGATGTAATTGAGTTTCTTTCAGGTGAATCACGATGTTCGTAAGCTGATTAATTTATGGAATCGAATGCTCCGATTTTGATAATATAATTAAAGGTTAGTTTTGATCCTACTAATATTGTAAATGTGAAAGTTTGTATGTTTGTTACTTTGGTGAAATTTGGTATGCATTTAGTTTACGACCTGGATTGAGACATAGGATACTTTTAATCATGTTAGGTTCCTGTGGGATTGTCAAAAAACTAAAGTTAACGCGGATGAATTTGCAAAATCAACAACAAGTTTCAGAAAAAAAAAACTCATATTGAAGAAATCAATTGTGATGATAAATAATACCATGGCTAAGAGTAAAAGTATTCAGCCGTAACAACTTAAGGTTTAAATTGAGAGCGACTTTATCTACCGTAGGAATTTCTATTATGCTCCCTATGTTTTGGTATCTATATTCCCTACATGTGTTTCTCTAGTGTTAAAGTGATAATTGTACGTCAGCTGCGACTCAGTCTGGCACCATTGCCGGCGGCCTATAGCTACAATCTAAGCTATTAACAGCCGTAGAGACGACACTGACTGTTATAAACACACGGTCAGGCAATGCTATGTGTGTTGCAGGTTTAACCTATTAATTAAGTATGCATATAAGTACTATGATTTTTTTTATTTTCTATGTATTTATCATATTGTTGATTCTGAGGGCCATCTTGTATTCAACATCCTTAAATCAATCCTGTTTCAAATCTAAATATCAATTGGTTAAAGTAAAGAAATAGAATGAGAAGTAGGCCGCATTGTTTCGTCGTTTATTAAATTGGACTTTAATTAATTTTTAATTTGAGTCCCGTCTGCTGCCTGGTCCGCCTTAAATGTTTTCTAGTAAAAAAATCTTTAGATAGATGAAGCAGTTAAATGCTAAAAATGTAACTACAATTGCTACTTCCTCTTTTAAATGTTAAATACTTGTAAAGGTGTTCGTTTGACATTGTGGATTACCTACAATGAGAAGAGATAGCGTTGCCTTGCAGCCTAAGAAATACTAGAAAGAATTCGACACGGCTATTAGGGCTGCGGTAGCATAATGGTCAGTACATCCGCCCGCTAAGGGCGCATCCGGCGCCAATAAACTTCCAAAAGCTCCACAGTTTACCATCTTTAGTCCAAAAATTTAAATTATAATTATAAAGTCTAATTAAAAGGGAGACAAATTACAATAAGAACAGGTGCTGGGGTCTAAAAATAAAAACACGAGTGCGGGAGTTGAACCGACGCCCGCGGTGATGCGTCGAACGTTGGTCCCGTGGCAAAGATTTAACACACTGCACCGTTTAGATCAATACTGGAATGGCGAAAATTGTGTTCCATTGGTAAATGCACTCTTGTAAGGTTTTTTCGTTACGGAATTTCTTGATTCGGTCGCCGCGCTCAAAGCCCGCGATAAAAGCTATACAATAGCTTAAAAATAGCTATCAAAATTTGACACATTTTCTATGTATTTGTCGTGACATTAAATATAATAAAATTTTGCTATTTTTTAAATTATACGAACTAAGGCCTGTTTTGCGCTACGGAAGGGTTTGCTGTTGCTGTTTTAATAGGTAGGAACTAATTTCACTCAAAAAATATTTAAAAGATTTTTCACAAAATGGATTTTAAATAATTTGTAGTTTTGAATGCGGCTTTAAATATTATTCATAGTGTTGAATGACATTTATTTATTTAAGTCATTTCTACGTTAATTTAGAAATATTTTATACCTTAGATTTCATCTAACAAGTGTAATTTAACTCTACTCAGGCCCTGAACACTTAAAAGTTTGATACTAATTAGATTCAAATTAATGGAAAAGTTTCAAGTTAGGCATGTTTATTTGTTAGTCTGCGGCAACATTAACGCTCAAATGAAACCTACTTGACCGATGTGACAAACTTTAGGATTGCGGCTGTTAAATTGGGTATTTGATAAGTTTTAGAAATCGATCTCACATTATGTACCTACTGATGTTTATGGAGTCTATGAAAAGTGTTATGTATATGTTGTGTATAAATCATCATCATCATCATCATCAACAGCCCATCTTAGTCCACTGCTGGACATAGGCCTCTCCAATAGGGTATTTGACAGTATTCAAAATAGCCAATTGTTAGCATCTGTGTTTAGAATGAATATAGACAGGGGTTTTCACTATTTAAAAAAAATATCATAATTTTACTAAAAACCTACGAAAAAGATAATAGTTTTCGTATCTATTGTCACGTGACCCAAAACGCTTGGGATTGGCGGAGCCTAAAATGACGTCACACGCAAGTAAACTTCCTGTTAAAGTGACATTACATTGTATCGTTTGGCGTTTTA